TATTGTATAAGAAAGTAATCCTGTTTCATTCTTTTACCTGCCTGTCTAGTTTTGTCAACTTCATTCATTCATTTTTATTGTTGACAGTATTACAGGTGTCCCCTAACCCCCCCCCTTTTAACACCATTTATTGAAGAGACTGTCTTTACCCCATTGTATATACTAGCTTCCTTTATCATAGATTAATTAACCATATAGGTGTGGATTTTTTTCTGCGTTGTCTATTCTGTTTCATTGATCTATATGTACGTTTTTATACCAGTACCATGCTATAGTATACTAAGTAGTTTGATATCGGGTAGCGTGATACCTCGAACTTTTTTTTTTTTTTCAAGATTCCTTTGGCTATTCAGGGTCTTTTGTGCTTCCAGATATTTTTTAGGATTATTTGTTCTAGTTCTGTGAAAAATACCATTGGTATTTTGATAAGGATTTCATTGAATCTGTAGATTGCTTTGCGTAGTATGGACATTTTAATAATGTTAATTCTTCCTAACCATGAACACAGTATATCCTTTCATTTATTTTTATCTTTTTCAATTTATTTCTGCAATGTCTTATAGTTTTCTGAGGACAGGTCTTTTATTTTCTTGGTTGAATTTATTGCCGCATACTTTATTCTTTTTGATGTAATTGTAAATGGGATTTTTTTCTTAATTTTTCTTTCTCTTATTTTGTTGTTGGTGTATAAAAATGCAATCAAATTCTGAATATTAATTTTGTATCCTGCTACTTTTCTGAATTCATTTAATTAGTTCTAATAGGTCTTTTTTGGTAGAATCTTTAAGGTTCTCTCTATATAGTAGTATGTAATCTACAAATAATAACAGTTTTATGCTTCCTTTTTTTTTAAAGAAGTTTTAAATAGTATATCATTTAGATACAGACTTTTCCTTTTTTTTTAATTAAATCTTTATTGTTCAGATTATTACATTTGTTCCTCTTTTTTCCCCCCCATAACTCCCCTCCACCCAGTTCCCACCCCACCCTCCGCCCTCACTCCCCACCCACTGTCCTCATCCATAGGTGTACGATTTTTGTCCAGTCTCTTCCCGCATCCCCCACACCCCTTTCCCCCCCAAGAATAGTCAGTCCATTCCCTTTCTATATCCCTGATTCTATTATAATCACCAGTTCATTCTGTTCATCAGATTATTTATTCACTTGATTTTTAGATTCACTTGTTGATAGATGTGTATTTGTTCTTCATAATTTGTATCTTTACCTTTTCCTTCTTCTTCCTCTTCTTAAAGGATACCTTTCAGCATTTCATATAATACTGGTTTGGTGGTGGTGAACTCCTTTAGCTTTTCCTTATCTATGAAGCTCTTTATCTGACCTTCACTTCTAAATGATAACTTTGCTGGATAAAGTAATCTTGGTTGTAGGTTCTTGGCATTCATCACTTTGAATATTTCTTGCCACTCCCTTCTGGCCTGCAAAGTTTCTGTTGAGAAATCAGCTGACAGTTGTATGGGTATTCCCTTGTAGGTAACTGAGTTTCTTTCTCCTGCTGCTTTTAAGATTCTCTCTTTGTCTTTTGCTCTTGGCATTTTAATTATGATGTGTCTTGGTGTGGTCCTCTTTGGATTCCTTTTGTTTGGGGTTCTCTGCGCTTCCTGGACTTGTAAGTCTATTTCTTTCACCAGGTAGGGGAAGTTTTCTGTCATTATTTCTTCAAATAGGTTTTCAATATCTTGCTCTCTCTCTTCTTCTGGCACCCCTATAATTCGGATGTTGGTACGCTTGAAGCTGTCCCAGAGGCTCCGTACACTATCTTCATATTTTTGGATTCGTTTTTCATTTTGCTTTTCCGGTTGGGTGTTTTTTGCTTCTTCGTATTTCAAATCTTTGACTTGATTCTTGCGCTCCTCTGGTCTGCTGTTGGGAGTCTGTATAATATTCTTTATTTCAGTCAGTGTATGCTTAATTTCTAGTTGGTCCTTTATCACAACATCGAGGGTCTCACTAGATTTCTTAAGGGTCTCATTGAGTTTATCGGCGGTTTCTAGAAAATTCTTGAAAAACCTTAAAAGTGTGGTTTTGAACTCTATATCCAGTAGTTTGATTTCCTCCATTTCTGTCATTTGTGTCCTGTTTCTTTGTCTCGGCATTTTTTAATGCTTCGCTGTGTCGATAGAGTGGCTTTGTGTGCTAGGTGTGCTATAGGGCCCAGTGGCTCAGCCTCCCCAATTACCTGAGGTGGACACTCTTGATGCACCCCCTTGTGGGCTTTGTGCACAGTCTTGTTGTAGGTAAGCCTTGATTGTTGTGGGTAACACTGGGAGGATTTGACCTCCAGGCCAGTTGGCTGTGAGAATCAGCTGTATCTACAGTGGGAGAACTTCTGTGCTGAAGACACCCTTATGGGGCAAGACTTGCTTCAGTGGGGCTTTGGTGCTCACTGAGTCTGCCCCCTAAGTGTGTCCCTTGTGGATCAGAGGAGTTGTAATTGGATGGTCCCACTCTGACCACTGGGTACACTGGCTCTTGGATCTAAGGAGGTTCTAATCTAGCCTCTGCCTGAGGCTACCCAGCAGAAGCCAACTGTAAAGCAATGCTAGTTGCCCTGGGGCCTTGGGGCAGCTGCAGTTTGTTAAGTAATTTTCAGATTACAAAGGGCTGGGCCTTTCATATGCAAAAGCCTTCGTGCAAGGCTTGGGCGGGGCGGGGTCCCAGGGGATCAACAGGGTTGGTGGAGCGAGCAGTATGGCTGCTCTCAGTCCTGCCTTCAGAGGCTCCGGCAATCACTGCGAGTGCCTACGAGAGAAAGCTGCCCTCGAGTTCTGACCGATGCCAGACAGTCCATTTCTCCCGTATGAGTCTGGGTCCCCAGAGACTCGCCCAGAACTGGAGCTCAGAGCCTGAGACTCCCTCCTGATGAAAAAGACAATCATGTCCTCAGCCACCAGCCCTCTCCGCATGCACCTCCGCACCTTTGTATTTACTTCAGCACCGCACCTCCTCTGAGTCTCGGTATGCTTTTCTCTTTCCTTCTAGTTATAGAATTTCCACTCAGCCAGCCTTCCTGTGGTTCTGGATGATGTCCGTTCCGTCTTTTAGTTGTATTTTTGAAGTGGTTGTATGAGGCAGCAATCTCCGGTGTTTACCTATGCTGCCATCTTGGTTTCTCTCCCAGACTATTCCTTTTTTTAAAAAAAATATATTTTATTGATTTTTTACAGAGAGGAAGGGAGAGGGATAGAGAGTTAGAAACATCGATGAGAGAGAAGCATCAATCAGCTGCCTCCTGCACACTCCCTACTGGGGATGTGCCTGCAACCAAGGTACATGCCCTTGACCGGAATTGAACCCGGGACTCTTCAGTCCCCAGGCCGACGCTCTATCCAGTGAACCAAACCAGCTAGGGCTTTTGCTTCCTTTCTTATTTGGATTTCTTTTATTTAAAATAGTTGTATACTTTAGATAGCATTATCATCAAATGCCCAGATGATTAAGTTGATGATTTTTCAGCATATGGCTGAAAGGTAAGGGATGGAACTTAGTAGCACTCAGTGCACAGAGATTTGGCCGTCATTTCTCAGGAAAGGTTGTTCCCTTTGCTTCATGGTTGTTCTTGCTTCTCTACCTTCTCAGAAGCTTCCCTGCATTATTTTAAGTTATGTTTCAGTTTTCTGGAAATCTGTTCATTTCAACTGTTACTAAGGCATCTGTTTGAATAAGTCCATTACCATTTATTTTCTTTTTTAAAAATATATTTTTTTATTGATTTCAGAAAGGAAGGGAGAGGAAGAGAGAGATAGAAACATCAATGATGAGAGAGAATCATTGATCAGCTGCCTCCTGCACGCCCCACACTGGGGATTGAACATGCAACCCAGGCATGTGCCCTGACAGGAAATTGAACTGTGAACTCCTGGTTTATAGGTTTAATGCTCAACTTCTGAGCCACACCAGGCTAGCACCATTTATTTTTTGTGTACATGCAGCTCATGAAAAACAGAATTTTGTAGTTAGAAGGAGCTACATAAATAAACATCCTCCTAGTTTTTTTATGAGGAAACTGAGATTTGCAAAAGTTAAATTACTTTTCCTCCAGAGCACTCAGCAAATAAATTGCAGGGATAGGATTTGAACTTGTGAACACTGACAATCTAAAAGTATGTTGTTTTGTTAATCCTCACCCAAGGATATTTATTTTCATATAAGGTCAGGGCTCTTGGGGAATCGTGGAAATACTAGTCCCAGGCTCTCAGACTGCTAAATAAGGGAATATTTTTGGCTGACTGGAGCCAAGGAGGAGGAATACAGAGCAAGACTGCTCTGGAGATGTGACACCAGGTGTGTTGGGTGGAACCAACACTGACTGAGGAATCTCCAAGGCTCAGACTTCAACTCATTCTTCCTTTCAGATACACTGGTCTTTTTCTCTCTTTTCATCCTGTATCTGTTTCTCTAGCTTTGACATTTTTCTGCCCAATAATGTATTTTCCTACTTTATCCTCTTGCTGGGCTTGCTCACTCTCACTCCCATCTTAATCCCCATGTTTTAAAAAAGTGGTCATATGTTGAATTTAAGTGGAGCTTTTTCATTGTGTTTATATACTCTCATGTTTCTCTTATTTAATTTAAAATTATTTATTATGAACATTTTTAGGAGCTGTACCTAGTGAAAAAATACCTGACATGATATTAGAATTGTTTAGAATCCTTGACCTGTCATTTGATACTAACAAACTTTTTTTTCTGTTGTTAATCTTCACCCGAGGATATTTTTTCCATTGATTTTTCTAGAGTGAAAGGGAAAGGGAGAGACAGAGAGAAACATTGATGTGAGAGAGACACATGGTTTGGTTGCCTCCTGACACGCCCCAACTGAGGCTGGGGATCAAGCCTGCAACCAAAGTACGAGGTGTATACCCTTAACTGGTGACCCTAGCCGGTGACCCTTCAGTCTGCGGGCCGACACTGTAACCACTGAGGCAAACCGGCTAGGGCTAGGTTTTTTGTTTGTTTGTTTGTTTTTTGTTGTTGTTTTTTTTTATATGGAATGTTTCATGATTTGGGTGTCATCCTTGGGCAGGGTCCATACTAATCTTCTTTGTATTGTTCCAATTTTAGTATATGTGCTGCTGAAGCAAGCATGAGGTTAATTTTTTATTCTATAAAATAGGAGTATTACGAACTTCTAAATATTAAAGTAAATAAAACATACATATATAGGTTATGAAAGAACATTAAATACATGTGCAAACTATATACAAATGTAAGTTAGTATACTTTCATTTTCTCTCTCAAACTAAAGTTAAAAAATGTAAGCTATCTTATTTTTGTTATAACCCTTTAGTGTTTGCTTGTTTTATTTATTATTTTAGTTTGAGATTTAGTTGGTCCAGTTATTACAAATGGGAAAAAGACCCATGTTCTTGGATTATAGTATTATATTTCTATATATCTAGTTTTTGCACATTTCTCTGAGAGTAGCAATGCAGTAAGCTATTATCATCATTAATTAATATGTTAGCTTGAGTTAATTTATGAAATTAGCCCAAATAGCAATTGCATACTGGGAGAAATATGACTCAAGGATGATTATGTTTTGAAAACTGAGTCAGGGTGAGATGTTGTCAGGTTTAGTGACCTGGCAAAACTTTGAGCAGCCACAGAATAGCCTACATTCAAAGTGCTGTCCAATAATTGGAGAGGTAGGTATAAAACTTTGTTCAGCATTGGGTTAGAAAACAAAACACTTATGCAAGTTTTCCTTATTTTACCTGGTATACTGAAAATAAATCAATTTAAAGAGGATGTTTACTTAAACTTATTTGGGGATTAAAACACTTGCCTGAAAATTGACTTCTATTTATCAAGTGAAAAAACTTTTACTCTCTGGAATTCTTGGGGAAAAGAAGTATCTTTCTGAATATTTGAATTTTACATGTAACTAGAGATTAACTCTTCAAATGCAGAGTTAAATAGATTATTTTTGTAAATTACTTTATATTATATTTATGAAATGATTATTCCCCTCCACAATAGCATTCTATATATAATAATTTCTACTGATGAATCAAAATTATCATTAGGAAGATCTATCATTGTGATAGTAGCAGACAGGTCCCCCCTCGCCCCCCTGAACTTTAAGGCATAAATTGACCAAACAGTTCTTCACTTTGTTCATTCAACTGATGTAACACAATGCCTAGAGCCTAGTTATAAATGAGTATGTTATTCAGTAGATGAAGCTGTTCTTTGAAAGTCCATAGAACATATATACTTATAAATACTTCTTGGTTAAATGTATAAATGAAAAAGTTAAAATTCAGGACAGTTTAGTATTAAACATTCTACCAATTATGTACAGTGTTTTTAGGAAGGAGGCAGCATTACTAGCATTGTTTACCTACTTAAGGAAATATGCTATGTATCTCTTTGGACTGGAGACATGAATAATGAGACCAACTTTCCTTCTCAGTCCTAAAGTACCCATATAAACTAGTGACAGCTTAATAAAATTCCTCCAAACTTCAAAACTCAGTCAAATCACACAGAACCCCACCCTCCTCATCTCTTGCTTCATATGTAGCACTGGTACAGCCCCTTCTAAATTAAGAATATCTTAAATGATAGGACTGCATTTCCCACGTCTAATGCTATGTCTATTGGTTGGTTGAATGAATAGAGGAATGAAAATGAGAGATAGAAGCAAAAGTAAGGGAATTGGACCAAAGAAAGATCTCCTGAGGCACAATAATAAGCCACTTTTCTTAGTAAATTGTGTAGAAGATAAGTAAGAGTAATAATAGTATCATTTCAGTAAGTGAATAACCTTTCCTGAGGCTCCTTTCAAGAACACAAGTCATTTGACTGTAAAATTTCTGGTATGTTTTTATAATAGGAAGGAAAAATTATTACTTTAAGAATGGGCTGCAGCTTTTGCTAGATAACCTAAAAGAATGGAACATTCCTTACAGAGAAAAAAAGTGAACTTTTGTTTAGAAGCCACCTAGATAGACTTTTTGTTAGTTGTGAAAGGTGGGGTGTCTAGGCAATGTTTGGACAGAAAAGTATGAAAGGAAAGAGCATAGATTCCCTTTGCAGAGTAAAGTAACAGAAATTTGATAAATGCCCTCTCTTGAGCTAAGTTTGATAGGAATAGGAAATAGAAGAGATTTAGAAGGGTTTGGAGTGAGGAAGAGAGAAAGCTCTTAGAACCATGACAGAGGAAGGGTCTTAAGGAACAAGATGATCAGGAATGCTAAGGAATCTACACTAATAAAAGACAAACATGCAAATTGACCGTACCTTTGCTGTGCCTTAAGCCACGCCCACCAGCAAATCAGAGCGACTATATGCAAATTAACCCTACCAAGATGGCTGCCGGCAGCCACGGAGCTGGAGCAAGCAGGAGGCTTGGTTGCCCAATGATGGAGGAAGCCAAGCTTCCCGCCTGCTGCGGCCAGCTTGAGCTCCACTCAAAGCAACACAGTTTCAATTATAGAAGGTTAATAAACCCCAGATACCTGCTTTCAGCTAGCTGTGGCCACAGAGCTGGAGCGAGCAGAAGGCTTGGTTGCTCCAGTGATGGAGGAAGCCAAGCTTCCCACCTGCCCCAGCCGGCTCTGAGCTCCACTGAAGGCAACAAAGTTTCAATTATAGAAGGTAAATAAATCCCAGAATAAAAAAAAAGAAAAAAAGGAGAGGCTGGGAGCTTCCATGGGGGCTTGGCCAACCTGAAAACGGCCCTCAGCCCCTCACCCAGACGGGCCAGGCACCCCAGTGGGGACCCCCCCACCCTAAAGGGGGTGTGGCCAGCCTGAAAACTGAAAACGGCCCTCAGCCCCTCACCCAGACGGGCCAGGCACCTGAGGGTCCCCTCTGGGGGCGGGGGCGTTTGACCAGCCTGCAAACAGCCATCAGCCCCTAACCCAGGCCGGCCAGGTACCCCAGTGGAGACCCCCACCCTGAAGAGGGTCTGACCAGCCTGCAAACACCCATCAGCCCTTCACCCAGGCTGGCCAGGCACCCCAGCGGGACCCCCACCCTGATCTGGGACACCCTTCAGGGCAAACCAGTCGGCCCCCACCCGTACACCAGGCCTCTATCCTATATAATAAAAGGGTAGTATGCAAATTGACCCTAACAGCAGAACGACTGGGAATGACTGGTTACTATGACACACACTGAACACCAGGGGCCAGATGCTCAATGCAGGAGCTGCCCCCTGGTGATCAGTGCGCTCCCACAGGGGGAGCTCTGCTCAGCCACAAGCCAGGCTGCCAGCTGCCAGTACAGTGGTAGTGGTAGGAGCCTCTCCCGCCTCCTCAGCAGCGCTAAGGATGTCCGACTGCAGCTTAGGCCCAATCCCCTGGGGAGCGGGCCTAAACCAGCAGGTGGTCATCCCCCGAGGGTCCCAGACTGGGAGAGGACACAGGCCGGGCTAAGGGACCCCCCCTCCCGAGTGCACAAATTTTTGTGCACCGGGCCTCTAGTCTTTAATAATAGCGCTTTGTAGGATTCAACTTTTTTTTTATATTGTTGATAGTATTACAGATGTCCCCCATTTCACCCCACGTTTGCCCCACTCTACCCAACCCCTACCCCACCCCAGGCCTTTACCGCAGTATTGTCTGTGACCATGGGCCATGCACATATATATGTATATAAGTTATTTGGTTAATCTCCTCTAGGCCCGTGCCCTCCCCTCTGAAATCTGTCAGTCTGTTCCATGCCTCCATGCCTCTAGACCTGTCAGTTTATTTTGTTCATTGGATTCCAGTATGTAGGAATTCAATTTGAAGTTGTTTCTGCACTGTGCTATAATTATCCTTTGTTACCCGGCTTAAACCTTTGGTAAAAGAACTATTAAGTATATGTTGATTGAAGGAGAAGGGGCGTTTTTCTATACTTGGGATAAACAGGGTGTTGAGAAAATAATGAGTTACAGGAGGCAAGACAAGGAACAGGGTTGAGGACGTAGGAGTAGGGATTTGCCATAAATTTTTATTTAAGCTTTAAAATTCCTGGCAAAAGAACCACTTCAGCATATTGTTAATGAGGTTTAAAAAAAAGAAGTTGTGGCTGAGATTTCAAGGCTTCTGATTTTGTGGGCTCAGGATCAAACTCAGAGCTGTGTTTGGGCACTGTTCAAGACACAGTTTTAAACTCTTTGATGTTTTGAAACACAATGTGATAAGAGATCAAAGGATGGAAAATTTATTGCATCTAGTTGATGCATTCATTTTAAAGGCAGGTGTGCCTTGCAAAGCTAGGGTGATACAAAGTCAATTGTTCAGGTTGAATTAGAAAGCAGCTCAAAGAAGAAGAAAACTTTCTACAGTGATAATTTAATTTCTAGTGATTATTTCTTGCTACATTAAAAAAATCAGCAAAATAAGAACTCCAGAATCAGCTTCTTAATAAGCCATTTTATGGTACTAAGTTTTTGAAAATTTCCATTCCCTAAAGATCTTTTTCTGTTGCCTGGCCCTGACAAAAGTGCTCCTTAACCTTTGGTTTTATTTATATAAAAATGAGAAATCATAAAGTCTTAAGATTTGACAGTATTTCATGCATTTAACAATTTGAAATGCTTACTATATGTGTAGGGCATTGATTTTATTTTGTTGTTTATATATTTTTTCACCCTGTCATTAGACAAATTCAGTTCAAGAATTTATAATCTCAGGTGGGGAAATACTTATATCATATTAAATAGAATGTTATGTTATTGTTACCCTACTATTCTTTTAAAACTAATGAATATAAACTTTAGAAGTATCATGTCCTTAAACAGAAGCATAACCTGTTAATTGTTTGCATGCCCCCTGTAAAAATTAAGACAATGACCATTGTAGTTTGACCTTACCATACTTTTAAAGGAGGGTAACCTACCCTAAAGATAAAGCTTGCTCAACCCCTCTGCTTTCTGGGAAAAGCTCTCTCCCAGCCCACATGGTGATAGTGGAAGCAACCATTTTGTGCAACATAACACCCTGCCCAACACACAGCTGACTAGACTAGCAGTGGACAGCAGACCAAAGTAGGGCAAAGTATTTCTGCAGGATTCTTGAACTGGAACTGAGACACAGAACCCTGTCTGTAACCAGGAGGTAAAGACATTACAGTCTCTCCATCAATG